GACAGGACTGGAGCCATCACGAAAAAGTTCGACTGAATTCGCCGCGTGCTTGTAACTGACTGAATCAGTAACTGAATTAGTCAAGTGTAATCAGAAGCTTCTATGAGCCAGTTTAAGGTACAGTCTGTCCAACAACTACCGGTATCGGTGCCGAGGCTGTTATGACAAACGGGCCAGTACCTACGCCTGGACGCATCACCGCTAAAGATATTGCTACTATAATAAAGAGAATTAAGGGTGGAAGGTCGCCGGGTCATGACAGCCTGAGCATTGAACACTTTCAGCACGCTGGCCCACACTTACCCAGACTCTTAGCTTTGTTGTTTACCTTTTGTGTCAGACACTTTTACTTGCTGGGGGACCTTATGAGGTCGGTTGTGGTACCAATTTTAAAAAATAAAACGGGTGACATTTCGGACATGTCTAACTATCGGCCGATCTCTTTGGCAACAACGGCGGCTAAGGTGTTCGATGGAGTGCTTAGCGACAGTTAAATAGTTATGCAAAACTAGATGATGCACAATTTGGCTTCAGGTCTAAATTATCTACTGAAAGTGCAATCCTGGCGCTGAAACACACTGTAGGCTATTATACGGAGAGAAATACTCCTGTTTACGCTGCCTTTCTTGACCTCTCAAGGGCATTTGACCTAGTAAGATGTGAGGTCATGTGGACGAAATTACGAGAAGCGCGGGTTTACCTGTTGCTTATGTTAACATGTTTAATTATTGGTATGGTCATCAGACCAATCAAGTGAAATGGTCAAATGTCCTATCGGATGAGTACAGGTTAGGGTGCGGGGTGAGGCAGGGGGGTTAACTTCACTCATATTATTCAATCTGTATATGAGCTGATTGTTGGGCTCAGAAGCACTCGTGTCGGCTGCTCTATTGACGGACTCTGTGTTAATAGTATCAGTTACGCGGACGATATGGTTTTTCTGAGCCCATCTATCAGCGCCCTTAGAAGACTCTTATCAGTGTGTGAAGCTTACATTGTGACTCATGGATTGAGGATGTTGTTTGGGCTCCCACGCTACTGCAGTGCATCGGGTATATTCACAGATGCCCACTTAGACGACTTCCCTTCAGAGATGCGCAAGAGAATTGCATTGTACGATTTTACAACCGAAATAGAACAAATACAAAAAAGTTCAAGCTGAAGAAAAAAATGTTTATACAACATTTTTGTCTCAAAAGTCACGGTTTGTCGTAAATGTTATTTACGTAATCGCCATTTTGTTATCAAGAAAAGGACAATAATACAGATCAGCCGTGCGGACTCGCCGTTTCGCTCGCGCTGCGTTAAAGCGTAGTTTTGTCTCGCTCGCTCGATTGAATGTTTATTTACAGAAGTGTGCGAGCGTGTTACTTAGGTAGTTGAGTCGGAGACAGCGTTGCCAGACGTCCTGATTTTTAAATCAAATTTAAATGACCCGCGCGGGACAGGCACAGTTCACTAAGTATGGGGACAGGTACAATCCCGCTTTTCGGGAATAATTCGACTGTGCGTACAGCGTACTGAGAAAGCGCGCGCGGGTGGCACAAGGGTTAAGAAAGCTTTTACTGGCAAAAGTCTGCTTTAATCAAATTATAGTAGTTCTTTTTTCTAAACTAAATAGTTTACGCGATAGACACTTCTAAAGTGGTAAAATGTGTGTCCATGTAACTTCTAAAATAAGAGAATGATGAAACTAAAAATAAATAAATGATGTATTGAAAATTTATTTGAACGAAATCTAGTAAGTAGTATTTTTTTAATAAATCGTAAACCGCTATTTACCTTTTATTCAATCAACGCAAATAAAAAAAAAATCATAAACATAAACGTTATGCACAAACCGAGAACCATTATTTTCTAATAATAAATCTGTAATAGGTGCCTAAGTAAATAATAATTACTAGCAAACCAGTGAACCAAATGTTCACCAAAAAAAAAATAATGTATTTAATTGAGAACTTCGGAGATTTTGTGTGGTTTCGTTTGAAATAGAAATCACGTGATTTCTCGAAAACCGGAAGTGCTACGTTACTCACATCCGGTTTGTAGTCTTATCAGACTATTCTTAACTTATAACTTAAACATTCTCTATATCTATCTCTTACGGTTTGGCCGCTGAAACAGCACCACGGACGGACGGACGGACTTGTCTATTAGATAAGAGATAATTCGCGAGGGGCGTGGCCTGAGCAGCAGGTTCTTTAGTGTTACTTGCTGCTGGCCGCTTTTTTTTACTATGTCCCGCTTTCGACGAAATAATCCCGCTTTTTTCACTCAAAAAGTTCCTAAATCCTGACTTGACATAAAAAAATGGCAAAGCTGGTTGGAGCATACATATTTTATTTGATGGTAGTATGAGCGCAACGTATCATTCCTTTTTCTATTAATCTAAGGCTTGTAAGCATAATGTAAATATATTTTAATAGGTTTTACTACTCAAGGACAGATGGAGGTACTGGATTAAAAGAGGATTTTTGTTTGAAAAGAAAGAAACGGTTAATATGGGCTATATAACCACTAATATTACAGATATTGATATTACTCTATTATTTAAATCTAATTTCTTCTCATTTTTTCTGTTTTACGGGCTACGCAAAACCCATAAAATATGCTTACCTGAATGATTCATTCACATTCTTAGAGCATTTACGAAAATATAAAGTATAAATGCTCTAGATTCATGTTGGATAAAATGCAAACAAATGAACAGATTAACAAAGTTAATAATACTAGTTGCCTTAAATTGATTTCCGTTCGCAATAATTACAGTGGATACTGTTATATAATTATTGCACAGCAGAACAATTATTTTACAATGTATTGTACAGCATTATGTTGCTAGAAAATAACACAATACAATGAAAATGGACTATTAGAAGCAAAATTTAATAAAATTCAATAAGAAAAGTCTTTTTAGTTCTAAAAAGACATTTGCTAGCAACAATTTTATTGATTTCATTTTATGTGCATAAAATCCAAATATTTTTATTTTGTCATTTCTTTGTAAAAAATGCAGATAATGTTTTAGTTCCACTAGCTGCCTTTTGTCTAGCTTTCTCTTTAGCTGTTAATGGTTTTGATTTTTTTACTTCTTTCCAGTCATCTATACTCTGATTTGAATTGTTCAAAAGATTATTGTCATTCTCAGGTTCACTTTTAATTTTTTTACTTGTTGTGTTTGTTTCAATTTCAGATTTTCGTTTTTTACCAACAGATTCTATTAATTCTGGTTTAAAATCAAACTTTTTTTCCAATAGATCAATGATTTCACTTTCTAGATATTCTGATATAATGCCACATGCATATTTCAAGTAGAATTCTGTAAAAAGAGAAAAGTAAGGTGGTATTGCTTGTAAAATATCTAAATAAAGAGTCTAGGAACAATTTATTTACCTTCATCCACACTTTGATTGCTTATATTACTGGCCACAAATGTAGCAGAAGCTGCACCTGATGTTACATGTATATTTTTGTGTCTCAACACTCCTGCCAATTGTTTCACTTTCCCTTCAAGCCAAAGAAGAGTCTTTTCTTCATTATATTTGTAAGCTTTCATTTCTGGGGAACCCTAAAAATTTTACAATATGTAAATAGTATTAGGGTACTGATACAATAAATTAGATGTCTTGCAAATTTTAGCTTTTTTTATAATAACATACTTTGAGATCTCCTATATGGTCCAAATTGTGCACAAAATCAATGATCTTGTCAAACCCTTTTTCAGATAGTAAATCTTCTAGAGGCATGGCTCTGTTGCTGCATTGATCCCGTAAACGTGGGAGTACTACAAAACATAATAAAACTATGACTTTATATCACTATTTCTACAAATACTTCTTAAATTCGGTCTGAATACATACCAAGGTATAATGGATTCATTGGTGTTACCATTTGAATGTTTCCATTTGATTTCACAGACTCTCCAATGAACCATGATCTGTAAGGTTCCTCATAAGTCACTACTTCATACATTTTCTTGAGTTTTTCATTTAAACAGAATTTTGCTGGATTACCATTTGCTGGATGTGGCAGGGTGACAATACTAAAATTGTCATTATCAAATAATTCATCTGAAATAAAAAGAACAACATTTAGGCATGTAGGTACCTAAAATTATTATTATTTTATGTCTTTTTTCAAATAGACAATGGTACTTGGCATAACTAGGTAAAAAACAAAGTGTACAAATTTATCTTACTAAAAAAATATAAAACTTACTTGGAAGAAGTAAAACCCAAGAATTTTCAATACGCTTATTTGCTATTGGCGCCTTCGGGGAGTTGGATATTTGCGACTTTTTATTTCTTGTAGTCATTGTCAAGAAAAACATGCAAGCATATATTTTAATCCCCTACGGTTTGTTTGTCACGAGACTGCCAAGTTTCCTTTAAGATAATAATTCGCGTTTCATGTGGAAAGCACTGGTGGAAAGATATCGTTTCTTTGTTTTGTTTTTACTTACAACCTCTTCTGTAATCTATTTTAACGTCTGAGTGTCATTTTTTTATAATACGCTCCCTAATAATAAGACAAAACACACTGAGTTCACACAGCCTTCTTTTTATTGTAAATATTTTCCAGTAGCCTCCCGCCCATAGGCGAGTTATATCGATCAATAATATCGTTATATTGGTATCGATTCTGGCGTGATTCTCTAAACTTAAAACTAAATTTAACATCAGCCTCTCCTTGTCATTCTGCATAGTGAATGACAAGGATGCACTGTTGTCAAATTTAAGTTTAGGTTTAGAGAATCATGCCAGAATCGACATCATTATGTATATTGCGATATTTTGTCATACTATGTATCATAATGATAGCTCATAAAGGATATCTCTCACTAGTCATGTTTTGTCAGTAGAATAACAGGACTCATTCCTGTTTTACTATTTATTATGGTGAACGCTTGATTGACGTTGTAATGGGCTCTATGGGTACAGTACTCGTAACCTTCCCAGAAAGTTATTAAAAAAAACCATTGACATTGATATTTGACATGACACACACACAGCCCGCGCGGTTCGTTTTTGGTATCGTTTTCTGTAAAAAAATTGTGAAATTGATGAACCTTACCTGTGTTTTTGTTAATTTTGTGTTATAGTGTTATTTTTAAATATGCAAGCATTTCTTAAAACTGGTAAAATTGGTGGCTCTGAAAGACCATCCTCTTCGGGTGCAAAAACATCAACAAAAAAGAAACCGCCCGCACCATGGGTAGAAAAATAGTATGTATTTCAGAGATTTTTTCCACTGCTTCACAATATTTTCATGATTTTAATGTTTCAAATGCTTACAGCCGTCCCAAAACTATCGATGATATTGTGGATCAAGGTGAAGTCGTTCAAGTATTGCGGGAATGCCTATCAGGTGGAGATTTACCCCATTTGCTGTTTTATGGCCCACCTGGTACCGGCAAAACTAGTGCCATCTTAGCTGCCGCTCGCCAGCTTTTTGGAGATATCACAAGAGATCGAGTATTAGAGCTGAATGCTTCAGATGAGCGTGGCATCCAAGTAGTGAGAGATAAAGTAAAGTCATTTGCTCAACTGACAGTGAGCCACACCAGACCTGAGTGAGTATATTTAGTGCTGACCCAAAACCTTGGTCAGGGTACAGCAAGAATGTTTTTCAGCCGCCTATGGTTAAAAGCTTATTGTTAAAATGACACGGTTCAAATTTGTATGGAGGGTGGTTGTCAGTGTCCGGCAGACTCCAAGTATTAATGACATGTAGTGCATTTCATTGTAAATTGTTTTCACAAAAAGCTAGAATTTATTTTATCCCTGCTTTTATTAAATAATTTTGTAATTTAAAATGACAAAGTTATTGTTTGGTAATGAGGATCATTTTAATGAATTTTTCAGATTTCTCAGTTGTGCCTTTGCATTAAAATTTGCACTTTTAATGTGAGATCCCTATACCTATACCTCTACCTATGAAAAACTCCTTAAACTAACTAACACTCTTAAAACAGCAAGTTTGACATACTAACACTGGCAGAAGTAAGAAGATTAGGATGTCAAATAGAAGAATATCCAGATTACATACTGTGGCTGCACCTGCAAAATCCGATAAACGTATTTTTCCAAAATTGATCTTTGTGGCTAATTTGGCTAAATTTGCGACGCCCGAAAGGGCTAGAAAACCCGTTTTGTCAAAAGTCAGTTTGCAACAAAAGTAACATATGTATAAGTATGCATTTGTCAAAGAGAAATAGGCGTCAAAATGCGCTTTGTGTCGGTGGTATACATAGCGTATTTTCTCATATTCAATGCGCTATTCCTGCTCCTTTACGTTGCACATGACGGTAATTTTATTTGGCGCGCAAACGAGACTACACAGTTTAACTTGTTTGTTTGTTAAATACATATTTATAGCAAGTTTCACATTATTAACTTATTGTAAAGGATTGGTTTTTAAATATTGTAGAATATATGGAAATACTTATTTCAACAAACAGTACTGTGGAAATAAATGTAAAAAAATGAGTTTTTTGGTGATTTTGACACAATCTCAAAATACCCATTTTGTTAAAATACAATAATTATCTTGATGCGTCTTCAGAATGTTTTTTTGTTTACTTTGTCGAGCTACCTTCGAAAGACTTTTATTAAGGGTTCGGAGATTGGAAGAGTTTTAAAACTTTATTGTCTATTTATGTTTTTTATTTGTTAATTTAATTAATAAAGTACTTTATTTAATTCATTTTTATAATTTTGAGTTTAAGTAAGATAGCAATATGAATACTTTCTTGTTATCTATTTGTTCTTGCTCACCCCTCAGCATATAGTGGAGAGATGGGGCACTGTCTCATTCTTAACGTAAATGATGAATCATAGTGTACAGTGATTTTCGTAAAATAATACATCTGGGCCGTCGTATTGATGAATAAGAAACTTCTTCCCTTAACTTCTGGCGTCATTCCGAAAGTAAGCTTATAGTATAATTCATAATAAAATAACCAATTTCAATGAAAAGAGGCATAACGGATTGTTTGCTCAATTTGTAGCAGAAGACCTTTCAAATAACACTACTTAATGGTGAGGTTGTGTTTCCTTTGGTTCCATATGGTATGGTAATTTAGTTCAAGCTGGTAAAGTGATGATGGTTGGCATAGCACACTCTGTTACAGTTATTTGTGTTGTTAATTGAGGAAAATATTATAATATGAAAATATAATATGAGCCATTTACTTTATTATTTAGTTGCCATAGTACGCAAGCTCTGCTTGTTTTGGGTATAAATGAGATTTATTTGGAATCTCTGTAAAGTATAAATTTTTGGAAAAGAATCGTAAAAACTTGTAAGATGTTCGATCGCTACGCACGCCACGCGAATGATGGACTATCTAATTATAACTTTGATAATAGTGTCTTTATTGTTATTCTTATTTAGTGGCCGTGCCTGTCCACCGTACAAGCTTGTGATACTCGATGAAGCAGACTCTATGACAACAGCTGCACAAGCAGCATTGAGGCGCACTATGGAGCGGGAGACCCGCACTACCCGATTCTGTCTAATCTGCAACTATGTTTCACGAATCATCCCACCAATCACCAGTCGTTGTTCCAAGTTTCGATTTAAGCCTTTGGCCAGAGAAAATGTTATTAAGAGGTAGGTAAAATAGCGTAGTGATACACTTGATCAATAGAAATTAGTTTAAGACAACATCACCTAACTTAGTTAAAACTTATCACAGACTTAATGCTAGACATACATACTTGAAGTATATGAAAGTACATTATTTTCCTTGCATTTATCCAAAAATGGTTGATAATGTAGTGTAGAATTAAGCAAATGATATTGTACAACTTGATATGCTTTTAGTTGAGATAGAAGGTACACATAGAGAGAAAGTTGGTCCAGGAAATCGTGTGAATGTAGTTTTGAGCATATGTCTTGGCAGCAAAATGTTAAGTCTGAAGGTCATTATAGACAATGCTTAATGTAGGGAAGTGAGAGTTGAGTATGTGAGTTTACTAACATGCAAGTCAAATAAACACAGCCGAGATACAAGGAATATTACGTAGGAAATCTACGGTAGGATTACGCAGTAACGTTGGCACATTGCATTTGTAATGTGGAATTAGGAAAGAGAGTTTGTCCGAAAGACAGTATCTATTTTTAAATTAATCGAGAAATACACCGTTGGTTCTGGCTAATAGAAAATAAAATAAATAAGACAATGACGAAAACGACACAGATTTGTGATGGAATAGTGGAATGAAATGGAATAGTGAAAGTAGCCAGGGATGGACCAGGAAGCCAAAACTTGCCGAAAAAACTGGCGGGCCTGTATAAAAAGGAAGCGAGAGATCTGTGATCCATACACACATTAGAAAGAAGAGAACGTCATAAGACACGTCGTGAACATGCCTTTTGCGTTGTATGTGGCTTAACTAAACGCTGGACCGGTTTTAATAATATTTGGGTACATTCGAGTGGGTCCCTGGTTGATTAAGATGACTACAATCCGTTATTTGTTTAAATCTTAAGTAATTTGAGAAAACGGTCATTACCTGCTGTAAATTCTTAGGTACATTTTTGACTACACCGTGCTGACAATACATAAAGGTCCATAATGTGCCTTTTCCTTGCTGGTGACGACGACGTTAGTTCCTTATTGGGAATCAACCACGCCGCTCGGCCCCAGCCTGTCACCTACACCTACAATAGTTTTGATACTACCACATCCATTGATAAACTTACACTGCCTTATTACAAAACGTAGAGTAAATATAAACCTGGACTAAAACTAATGCTGTCTCTTTTGTTTGCTACAAAGAAGACATAGGCAACATTAGGCTTAAACCAAGATTAACTTTAGTCCGCATTTTGGAATAACGCGGCAACAGTGTATCCTTGTCATTCTGTATACAGAATGAAAAAGAGAGATTGATGTTCAATTTAGTTTTAAGTTTAGAGAATCATGCCAGAATCGATACCACTGTCTTATTCCGAAACGCGGTCAAAAGATTGACTTGGTGTAAACACTGATGCTATCTCTGTCTTAAATAATGGTAACAAATAAATGATGATACTTCTTAGCAAACATAGGTGACTGCATAATTTTTAGGCCAGGTTTATTGTTATTATTTATTTTTATTTTTTGCCTGGTCCGCGTGGAATATTTTCTAGTTATATTTTCTTCAGGTTTATTGTTTTTGTGTGTAAGGTAAAACTGAGATTTCTATTTAAAAAAGAGCTTAGGTATATGTACATAAAATATTGTGATAATTTGTATATAATTTCTAGATTACAAGAGATTTGTGAGACAGAAGGCGTGGACGTTGGCGACGGTACGGTGTTGCATCAGGCAGTAGACACGTGCGAGGGTGACCTGCGACGCGCTCTGACAGCTTTACAATGTTGCCAGCGGCTGCTCGGCAAAATCACCGCTGAAGGCCTCATTGAGGTTGGTTTTTCGCAGTATATATACATATAAATAAAATTGGAGTGTTTGTTTGTTCCAGCTAATCTCTGTAATGGCTGGACCGATTTTGACGGGACTTTTATTGATAGGTAGCTGATGTAATAAGGAGTAACTTAGGCTACTTTTGTTTTTAAAAAAAACTTATTTAAGAATAAAAAAAAACAAATTGAACGCGGACGAAGTCGCGGGCGGCTGCTAGTCCATGCTAATATTATAAATGCGAAAGTGCGTCTCTCTGTTTGTTAACCCTTTACGCTTAAACCACAGGCGATTTGGATAAAATATGATATATAGATATTTTATGTCCCGGTAAGGACATCCCATTTAGTAGAAAGTTCTTATCCCACAAATCATCATTTGAAGGGGTGAAAAGGGTTAATGTGCTGGAAGGTTTGTATAAACCAAAAAAAATACATCCAGACGAAGTTGGGGGCTCCCAGTAGTATATTTTATTCACCTTATATTTAAATGTTTTGATAGACATCATTATGCACATGTAACAGACCATCAGTAAGCTAAGAAAAATACAAGATAAGAATAATTGGAATTATTTAGAAATATGTAATAAATAAATATGTAATGTCTTAAGTGAACAATCTTTCATATGAATCTGATTGGCAACTGTAGTATGATAAAAAGAATTTTTGTCATTTACAGGTAACAGGCCTAGTACCAGAACAATTGGTTCAGGATTATGTGAATGTGAAAAATTACACAGAATTGGAGAAGTTTGTGGAAAAGTAAGTAAATTTTATTTAAAATGCATGTATATGAAGCTTTGCATTCCTTAACTTGCAGCATGGCTCATCACTGTTATTTGCGTTTATGGTTTTTTAAAAGAAATGTTATTAAAAAATTCAATTTTCAAGTTGCCGCGGAAACGTTTCTCTGGACATTATGGCGTCTTACTAGTATGTGACGTTACACGACGTCAAACGGTACAATGTAATGTCACTTTGACCGAAAGTTCACTATGTAGCATGTGACGTCTTTTAGTCTGCGCCAATCCGAGGCGTTTTCGGTCATGTGACCATAGAACAAAGAAATCGTTTCTTTTTAATGGTTTTTTAGAAAAGTTATTGATATTTTGTTCTCTCAGAATAGTAAAATCGTTTGCTAATCTTATATATAAAATTCTCGTGTCACAATGTTGATTTTTATGAAATTTTATATGCATACTTCGTGGGTCTGAGAATCGGCTACTATCTATTTTTCATATCCTTAAGTGATAATGGTTGTCCACCTGTAACGTAGTGTTCTGAAACCTACATTGCGCCTTGGCGCCAAAATTCAAACTATTGAGTATTGTAACGTAGTTTTCTCATATGGGTTAGGAGGAATGTTATCCCAGGAAATTGATAGAACACTACGTTACACACCCCTAAAAATTTTTTTGGACATTATTTATTTTTTTATATTGTGGTATTTAAAAATACATACAACCCTAAATTTTCTCTTCTACCACCTGCCCCTATTTTTATGGCGGTATGAAGTTCGCTGAATCCGCTAGTATTCATATAATATTAAATACAGACGTCAACAATTAGTAATTCATTTTTCATACTGTCAAATAGCCCTGCTGCCCGCGTTCAGTTTCATAGACCGTCGTAAAGTGCCTGCCCACTGAACATCGTCCGGTGCGTTGTCACCATTAGAGAACTTTTGCACCTCAAAGCTAATCCGTTTTCCTTGTTATGTGTCCTGGCCTCTGCCACTCAAGCTATAATAATAATAATAACTTTATTTGGAACAAGTGCAATGTACATAAAATTATGAATCGTTAAAACTGCTTTAGTTTTACAAAAAGTGTGTTGCAGAATTAACGCCCATTCCCGTATAATATGAAACAGTGTGCCTATCAATGTATAAAATTAATTAAAACAATCTGTATAGAGAGAAAATTAAAATGAGACAAAAATATCCACAATTTAAAATCCATCGAAGGTAATTTCAAAACAAAAAATATGTCCGAGTGCATTTTTATCAATATTATAACAAACCAATACTAAATTTTACCAAAAAATGAAAATAAGGACTAAAATATAACATTTGAATTTTTATGCTCACATTAGAAGGTAGGTAAACACAGATAATACAAATCTATTAAAATTACAATATTAAACCTACCTGGACACTACAAACCAATAAATCATGATATAGAATAGTCAAATTCAATATAAGACACAATTTTGCACACATCGTACCAACATCACTGCAAAAAAGTTAATTCAAAGCATACGAACATCATTAATTTGTTTATTAAATAGTAAAAACGTCCAGCAGTACCATACGCTGGCCATCAACTGAACTAACAATTCATTTCGAGCGACTGATAAGCGCGACCAGGATCAGTGGTAGGAAAAGGGGCGGAGCAAGTCAGCAGGCGTGAATCGTTGTAGAAGAAACAAATAGATCTACATAGGGCGCGACTCCAGTTCATGAGCGATAAACTCCATTATGAACTCTTTTGATAAGTAGAATTATTGTGTTTAAATCTGAATTTAAGTTGTTTTTCATTTATTTTTATAACCTGACAATAGAAAGAATTTATACCTGTACTATCCACTAATTCAAATAGTTTTTTTAATGTCATTATTGTAAATTAAAACTATTTTTTTGATATATTTAAAGATTATATTTATTAATGAGTAAATGAGATTTTGGAATGTTCATTTTTATAAATAGTTAAATCAAATTGAAATTATTTTATTTTAAGATGATTATCACGTTAACGAGGTACAGTCTTTTTCACATTCAAATTAGTTTTAAAAATATATACTTTTTTTTTTTGGAGTAGGTATTGTTTACTAGATAACAAACAGCACGCAAAGCTGCTTTAGCAGTATTTCGACGTTTAACAGTCTTATAATTAATTATTTATAAGTACCTCTGTTTCTGTATATGAAAGCCCCTTCAGCCAAACAGTGATCCGCAGTTTACATTCCTTAAAAGTGAGTGGATAAATATTTAATATTTTATTTACTTTATTGTATAAACGGGGAGAGAGGTAGTGAAAATGACGTTTTGCGAGCTCCAACCTAACATATTTATTTCTACAGACTATATCCGATCTACGTTTGTTATGGAAATGGTCGGGGTTGAATGGAAGTTGGGAATGTTTGCGAAGTAAGACCAGCATGATGAATAACTGACGCACAGTTAGTACACCAGTGTCCTCATATAATTGAGAAGTTGGATATAGAATAGGCTTGAAGGTCATAACTTTTAACACACCTCTTTGAGCTCTTTCAAGGCGTAATAAAAGGGACTTATTGGCTCCCCCCCATACCGTAACACAGTATGATAATACGGACTGAGCGAGGGCCAAATATACAGATTTAAGTGTAGAAGCATCAAGTAAATTACGTAGGGTTTTAAAAATATACATGAGTTTCCTCGTACGGTTAGAAGTTACCTTAATATGCTCATCCCATGTGAGTGAGTAATCCAGCCAAACACCGAGGTACTTAAGTTTTAATTTACTCTGCAGTAGCATACATCCACAATTTGACATTCCGGGGCAGTTCTGATTATGAGCTTGGATAATAAAGTTAGGCGCAGGAAGAGATGAACATTTTGGTGCAAAAGCCATATAGCCATATAGCTGAGCAATCCTTTGAGCGATGTACGTTATCTTGAGTATTATTTGCCCCAGCGTATGAATGTGGTCTATGTGCTGAATCTTTTCGCTCGTTCCGCACGTTTGAAGTCTTTAAACCTGCAAGAAAGACGTTACGTAATAACTCTCGAAAACATAGCAACAAAATTTACATTAACAATAACATGACTTAGTAAACTCATTGCTCTGAATTTGTTGTTGTTCAGCTTCAGCAGAGAGCAATGCTGCAGCGTGATTACATGCATGGAGCATACATTGCATGAATTGGTTTCACTAACTTGTAAGAGACACCTTTTACTGTCAATCTGCACTACTTGTTACTTGTGGTGGGCCCCCTTTTCCGCACGTGGACTATGCTCATTTTTGGTCCATTGTGCATTCAGTAGGATTTAGCTAGCTCAGCCAGTTCCTTCCAGAAGCTCAGTAGTCTCCTTGGACTCCCACAAGCTTTTAGGAGCGTCCTCGGCGTCTCGAGTGTTGAAGCCTGCTGTCCTGACACTCTCATGTATTCCAGGATTAAATTAGCGGCCGTTTCGTCTCAATCAATCAACCAACTCGGCATATCGCAATCTGCTGCTTGACTAGGCCTCTCCCAATTTGCGCACAACAATCGGTTCTCCGCCTCCAGATCCAGTTTAACCCAGCCGCCCTCTTCAAATCTTTCGGTCCAATATAGCTAGGACACCCCCCCGTCCTATACCACGCTTTGCCGGTACGCGGTCTTACTTACGATAGGTCCTTCGATAAATATGGCCACTCCATTGCCACTTCAGCTTGCTGTTTCTGGATCTGAAAGCTATCTCTGTGACTCCAGATATTTTCCGGATAACCTCGGATTTTATCCATCAAAGACTCTTTGAGCATATTTCGCTCCATAGCCCGCTGAATTACTTTAAATCTGTGGATAAGTTCTACTGTCAGTGTCCACGTGTCGGCACGTACTGGGTGAAAACTTTCGTTTTCAAGCACTGCGGTATTTTCGAAGTTTGCCAAATGCTGCCCAACGCAATCGAATCCTCCTGTCTGCTTCTTTCTCGAAGTTGTGTCTACCGAGCTGGCTGGTCTGCTAGAAGTATTATTGCACAACTTCGAGCATCAACCCTTCGACGCATACCGTTTCATCTGTTACCAGACAACCGCTACACAGAGAACTATCTGTAATACGTATGGTTTGTAAATGCTTATTGAGTAAGTTATAGTGCCCAACATTAATCTAAGAATAATTTGGTTAAGGTTTAGTAGTTTTCTAATTAGTTTAGGATTGAGACTTGTAATAGAGGAGCCCAAGCGGGGAGTTTGGGAATTATTCGAACACGGCAGAATTTCATTAGGGGGGAGGGGGGCAACCTTGCACCTTGTGAAGTAATCCCACCATACATGAGCCCTTTATTTATAGAGGGTCGAACGTCTAGAGTCTTTAAAGTCAAAACTCCACAACAAATCACCACACTGATACGTTTATAGCAAAAGTAATGCGCACGAGGCCATTACGTGGCACACACAGAGCGACCCAGAACAAAGGTCACGATCATTACGTCACTTTGCAACACAGAGTACAGTACTAAGGGCTGCGTTCGGGACCTACAATCCGGGTGCGAAGAGTGCCAGTTTTATAAATAAATATTCCAGCTTTCTTATGCTAACGCTCCGCACAGTCACTCTTACTTGCGATGCGTCATTCGGGTTGGACAGCAGGCTACCCTTATCGGCCGTATGGGGAAAGTAGGGAGGGACTGTTGCTACGTTGACGGGTAGCGGGAACGGATGGCTGTGTGGAGGGCCGGCATTATAGTTTAATGTATTGATTGTAATTTAAGTAATATATGTGTTAGTCATTAAGTAAAATTGTAATCCGTTGTATGTCAATTGTGTTCTTTGTTATTGTCTCGCTTGTTCCGGCATTTCGCTAGTCGCCTTTGCCATAAGGCGCTGGCTGAAAATCAGCGCTGCTGTGGTATCGCGAAAGCGGTTACCACACAGCATAGCTGAGGCAGCGCCCTATTGGCCTTCCACGGCACGATGTTTTTATTTGTTCTTATTTTTTATCTTACATTCTTATAACTATGTTTCAATATTAAAAAAAAAAAAAATGTATTTCTAAGTGTTGCTGTGAAGGCTAATAAAATGTTTTTCTTTCTTTCTTCTTTCTAGAGTAGCAAAAAAGAAATAAACAATCGGCCATGACTTGGTCGCGTCCAAAGTCATTTGAATAAGAGCTACTAGAGGGTTTGCGTTTAGCGTTGTCTCATGATTTTTTTATAAAAGAGCACAGTTGGTACCAAGGCCCAAGAACGAAATTTGACAGATCCCGAATTGTATCGTCATCGTCAAATTTTGTATGGAATGTGTTAGTTTGTTCTTACGTCCGGTAGGGGTGCTGCTTAGTTTTCCTAGAAAGTTTGACGATGCGATTACATTACGGAGCTGACAAAATTAGCGCTTGGGTCTTTGTTTCATTCTTTAAGCTTAAATCGAGACTTTCAGCTTGCTGTTTCTTGTTCCACCATTCACATCAGGTGCTTTCCCATGATACGTCTCAGCTACATTAATCATCAGCCTATTAATGCCTCCACTGCAGGGGCTCACGTGAGCCACCACGCGGGCCCAGTGTGGATTGGTGGGTGCTTACGACTGGAGATGCAGCCGGGACCAACGGCTTAACGTGCCTTCTGAAGCACGGAAGAACTCGAGATTTTAAATTTTTGCTCACCCATCCAATGACCGACCATTCGAAAGTTAGCTGACTTTTAGGATCGCAGGTCGAATACACTCACCACCTGCGCCATCGACCTCCTCCAGTCACATTCACCTCCATCATTTTCCCAAGATTTATTGTCAACATCACATTCACGAGTCATAATTCGGTATAATTTCGTTTACAGTTTTCTGATGGACGCATACTCAGCTGCTCAACTTTTAGAACAATTAAGCGCATTCGTGGTGTCATGTGGTCATTTAACGAACAAACAGAAATGTGCCATCAGTGAGAAGTTAGCTTTATGTTCCCACCGGCTTCTCGATGGTGGGGCCGAGAGTATGCAGCTGACAGACCTTGGCTGTACTATAATAATGGCTAATAACAATCCTTAATGAAATCACCACGATTAAAGTTATTCTGAAAAAATGAGGTATACAACACGTCACGCTTAATAGAAAGAAGAGCCGTTCAAAAATTATAATTAGACAAGGAAGAAAACAAAGAGTTGTGACGTCATAATACATGCCATTAAACTGTAAGTTTCGATTTTAAGTTGAACGTAAATAATGTGAAAGATTTTTGATAAGTTGTAGTGCACCAGATATTTATACAACGACAAATTAATTTGTAAGTTGCATTTATATAACTTCTTTAAAATTTGTGTAATGTTTGCCAAAAAAAAAGCAGACAGAGCAAGAGGTTTTTTTAGTTTTGTGTAAAACTTGCACCAATAAAGAAACATTCTGCTTTCATCACACATTATTCCGGAAAAGGAGTTATCATTCTCCATTCGTTTTATTATTGGTGGGAGTTATTTTTCAAAAAAAAGTTGAAATAGAACTTCACTTTATATTGACCTATTATTAAATTAACTTGAAAATAAAAGTGGTCTGAGTTGTGATCTACGATCATGGTCCTTCATTGATGTGTGATAAGGTTCTTTATTTTTCTAATGAATATTGTGTAAGTACTAGGATTAAAGTTTAATTTTAATACCAAAATATAATTTGTCAACCAATAAGGTCTTTAAAGTAGAGATGCAAGGATTCAATATTTTACTTTTACTATTCGGATTATAATATTTGTACACATTTAAATATCTGTCTTTACTGTACCAACAATCGCTGATTTGGATTAAGATGCAACCATCCATCCTATAGCAGTAAATGTTGATTGCCTAAACCCAGAAAGGAGGTTAAAACGATTTCGTTCAAACTTGGGCCCGTAATGAATGGTGACAATTTTAAGGTAAATTTATGGGACCATTACTAAAAAAATTGTGTGTGTCAGCTCCTACGCACGACTGGAGTTTACTCATTAAGTTCGATAGCCTAACCAGACGCAAAAAGAGTTTATTTAACTTAAAAAAGATTGATACTGTATGAAAGGTTAATTAACAAATTAATGAAAATAATATACATATATAAATATATATTTATTCATTTCATATGTATATTGCATTGCAGTATACCCTATGCACGTGTCCCTATACCCTACACTCACAACCAAATTAGAAAGTTGCGCGACATAGGATGCGCACCAAAAAAGTAACGAGGTCATTCATCGATAGATTTTACTCCTCACATTTTTCTCATACCGGGCCCCTTATATATGCAAATCGATTCTTAAGGAGTAAACTCCAAAAAATCGGTTTCTGCACTGAATAAATCCAGATTTGGGTTATTGGCATAGCATTGCATAACATCACTTCATTAAAGTTACAGCTTACCGTTCTCCTTATTCTTCCGATCCTATCCGGACTGTTCCGAGTCTGAAGGATGTACGTGTTTATAGTTGTGTACATATTATATCAAATTGAAAAGTTTCGGCACTGTATGCCCTTTCATCTCACCGTCTACTTTCATTAAGGTGGAGCATTGATCATCTTCATTAGCCTATTAATGTCCCCACTGCTGGGGCATAGGCCTTCCCTATGGATGGAATAGGGAGATAGGGCCATGACCCACCCACGCGGGCCCAATGCGGATTGGCGGGTGCTAACGACTGCAGATGCAGCCGGGACCAACGGCTTAACGTGCCTACCGCAGCACGTAGGAACTCGAGATAGAAGGTTTTTGGTCACCCATCCAATGACCGACCACTGCGAAAGTTTCTTAAATTCAACGATCGCAGCCGAACGCGCTAACCACTTGCGACATCGAGCTCCTCTTGGAGCATTGATATCTGCGGTATATCCATTCGACTACAGATGTTGAGCTTAGCAGGCGTCAATTATCCGTTGACTTTCAATACAGTTGTAGAAGAGAAGTAAGCAAGTACAGAATGGATAAGCAGGTAGACAGAAAGAAGTAAGCAGGTAGATGTAAAGATGTAAGAGGTTTGTGGTGGCGACATCTACACACTTTACATAAAATAAGCGAAGCAAGATTCGTCACTCTATAACAACAGATAGCGCTACCGGTGCTGCGCTCAAAAAGTATGGGAGCCTACATCGCGCAAGTGAAATTCGGAGACTAACTCATCATATAGGTAAAGCGTATACTACCGACTATACCATGGCGAGTGTTCTGAGTTATTCTCCCTTTTCTCTCCATCACCTTTTCTTTAGAGGACCTCGAGCGCTGGCCTATGTTGTCACCGACTTACTGTGGCCACTATTCCTACACGAAAAAAGAAATTTGGTGACTCATTTGTTTGTCGTACTATTCGTAAGTGGAATTCTTTTCCCGCTCACGTGTTCCCCCCTTCCTACAATCTGGGGTCTATTACGAGAGGCGTGAAGAAGCACTTCTGTAGGCCGGCAAGGTGAGGATGGTTGGTGTGTCAGTTTATAACTGCTGTTTCAGCTATCTTCGCGTCTGGACTTTATCACCACTTAACATCAGGTGGGGTAGAGACGTTTGCCTACCAGATTTAAAAAAAAAATATGCCCTACCCACATCAGTGGGGCCGCGGCCTTTCATCCAGGTAGGTGGACTTCCCCATTGGCCTTCAATAGGGTTAATGAAATTTCGTAATTAGCTGATGTCCGTGTTAACCGGGAGTTGATCAGTTGTTAATATTTCCTGAGCTGCTTCATTCCATGTGCTTGTTCCAAGGTGATACGATGTCGTTACGTTACTTTTGATTTGAATGAAATTCAGCAGGCGACTTTATACAAGTAATTCAGAAATTTTGAGATCGGTTTATGTTCCAATATTGTATGCACCAGCCCTAAGCGACGTGACGCGTCATGGTTTCCTGTTTTTTGCCTGTAGCATTTTTTTTTATTTACCCACTGTTAAGGTATTTCCAATACGAAAAACATGACGTGTCGCGTCGCTTCTACCCGCGCCAGTGTAAGTTGACGATTTAAACCACCCAGCATTCCTTAGATCACCAAAGTTTGGTTGATAACATTTGTCAAAAGTAAAACTGTTTTAGCATGCGCAGACGAGGGACTTTTTGTCCGCTAAAATAGATCGCTTAAAACGGCATCGAGTAGTAACGCATACAAGGGATTAAAAGTACCGCGTACAAAAAGTCCCCCGAACAACCGAGAACATCGTGAGACTGGACAGGACAAAAGTACACGGCAGTCCCGAAAAAAATTGATCTCAAGGCACAACAACGCTTTACAAAGCGAACTTAAACCCGCGTTGCGCGCTCGAAACGATTTAAAAAAAATATCCAATATTAATTCTTAAAACTTCTTCTCTGTTTTTAAACTTCATTATAATTATAACACAACGTAATCTGAGAATATTTATTTCCATAGCGTGCACTCTTCTAAAGGTGACGATTCAAATTTGTATGGAGGGTAGTCAGTTGCCTTCAGACTCGATTTTTTTATGAAATGAAGTGCTCTTTATTGTAAGTCGTTTGCCAAAAACCAGATTTTATTTTATCTCCGTTTTTTAAAGCTATTATAATATAAAATTATCTAATTATTGATTTGCAAATGTCAAGTTTTCTTAAATCTATTTTTTATTACCAAAGCATCAACTATATCAATGGGTAAAACTAGTTTTTACGGGTTAATGCACGAAATTTTATTTGTTTATTGACGGTTCGTAGCCTTTACAGGCTACGTCGTCAGAATAAAACTTTTATTCAATTTGTCGAGCTACCTTCGAAAGACTTTTATTGAGCGTTTGGTTATTTCATTGTTCGATTTTTAAGTTTTATTGTCTATGTATGAATTTATTATTTAATTTACTTATAAAGTATTTTATTTCAAATTCTTTTTTGTAATTTTGAGTTTATTTATTTGACCCTAACTACCGTAAACTACCACCGGTTCCAAAATTGGGAGAATCTCAATAGCCTCGCGCATCATTCGAGGAACGAACCGCCGCTCAGCTGCAAGGATCTGTGGTCTATCAAATCTAATGTAGTGGTTTGGTCCCCCTAATGTCTGCAGTGTGTGAACATGAACATGATTTGATAGACCACAGATCCTTGCAGCTGAGCGGCGGTTCGTTCCTCGAATGATGCGCGAGGCTATTGAGATTAAAAAATATCCAAATTTCAATAGGGAAGATGGTTGGTATATACCACCAGCTTGGGAACCTATTATACAGGAGATAAAATCCCAACCCCGAGCACACACTGCAAGACCATCAGATACTATTAGTTCTTTTTGTTTGCATAATTTAACATAAGAAGGAGATAGAAAGCCTCTCTTGAGTTTGTTTCGCCGGTTCTTCTCAGAAAGGTCTCCCAATTTTGGAACCGGTGGTAGTTTACGGTAGTTAGGGTCAAATAAATAAACTCAAAATTACAAAAAAGAATTGTAAACAAAATACTTTATTAAGTAAATTAAATAATAAATTCATACATAGACAATAAAACTTTAAAAATCGAACAATGAAATAACCGAACGCTCAATAAAAGTCTTTCCAAGGTAGCTCGACAAATTAAATAAAAGTTTAATTCTGACGACGTAGCCTGTAAAGGCTACGAAACGTCAATAAATAAATAAAGTTTCGTGCATTAACCCGTAAAAACTAGTTTTATTTAATGAGTGATGTGCGCACAGAGATGTTAAAGTAATGTAAAGTAAAAATAAACTTTTGTTTCTGATATCTATGGATGTGCGTGAAAACCTAAGAAACAAATAAGTAAAGTTAAGTTGATTGAATGAAAGGCAAATTGCGGTTTACGATTTATGACGTATTAAAAGAACCTACTTACTAGATCTCGTTCAAACCAATTTTCGGTGGCAGTTTGCATGGTAATGTACATTATATATATATTTTTAGTTTTATCTTTCTCTTATTTTAGAAGTTACAGGGGGGGGGGGGGGGGCGATATGTTCTTTTACCCGAGTCCCTATACTAATTAACATAATTTAACATAAGAAGGAGATAGAAAGCCTCTCTCGAGTTTGTTTCGCCGGTTCTTCTCAGAAAGGTCTCCCAATTTTGGAACCGGTGGTAGTTTACGGTAGTTAGGGTCAAATAAATAAACTCAAAATTACAAAAAAGAATTTGAAATAAAATACTTTATTAAGTAAATTAAATAATAAATTCATACATAGACAATAAAACTTAAAAATCTAACAATGAAATAACCAAACGCTCAATAAAAGTCTTTCGAAGGTAGCTCGACAAATTGAATAAAAGTGTTATTCTGACGACGTACAACCCTTTAGAGGACGAAATTCTAATACTGTTTCCACTGAAGCGGAGCGGAGATGAGAAAGATGACTTTTTTCCGTTAAACCGTTATGTTAGAGGAAACTTCGACTAAGATAAATAACGTCGATATTAAGGTGATGAGAGCCGAATCGTATCAAAGCATCAAAGAATTAGCGGTATGCTTGGACTGTAGCGTAACCACAAATAAAAAGGATTTGTCACATCTCTGTAAATTAAAAAAAACTGGTGCCTTTTGGTTTGTCTGATCTGCAGAGTATAGCTGCGCGCTAAGTATCTTGCCTTGCCTCCTTAAACCAGTACAGAAATGAAAGGAATTTATTTAGCCGAATTGTAGGTAACATGTGACGAAAAGTAGATTCCTAACGATAATTGCAAGAAAACAACGCAGTCAGTGACTCTGGGTCAAACGGCACAACAGTATTCTAAAGCTACGTAGTCAAAGCACCTTTTGAATGGTGAATTGGTGATGGTAGTCACTGTATGGTTTGATTGATTTCAGCTCCTTCAGATCTGGTCAAGCAATGACAGTAGCAAAAAAAACAGCCCCAACTCGTCAATCGATCTTCATTGTTACTGATCCATGATATATGATAACGCATGACTTCACATTTCTCGATAAATAGTTTTACTCCGATGGTAAAAACCAGCGGTCACCTTTCAAACTAGCTGGACTCTGCACTCCGGCTTTTTTTTCCGAAGGACAATTATTTCCTAGAAATAAAAATATCTGCCCAGGAAACCGTCAAAATGGCATCGTTATCGTCGTGTACGTTAAATTTCAGTATAACTACTTAAATAGGTAAAAACGAAATTTCATAATCTTACCCCTAATAAAGCAATTCTTAATGTAAATATAATGGTAGGTATCGTAAAAATACCGCTAC